CTCTGGACTGAAGTCTCCTGATCGTTGATTCAGTTCCTGAACGTCGTTGTTAAAGACTGTAGATAGTTGTTTAAATTTAACTTTGAGGAAAAATACCGTATTTTTCGCACTATAAGCGAACTTAAATTCTGTTTGGCCTGTCGGAGCGCTACGGTAACCTCTGACTTTTCTGACTGTTCCTGAATCCTCTGAACTTTACTGAAGATGTGAACCTTTACTGAACACTTCACTTCATTCATGTTGATAAATTCTTCCAGGTTTAAAGGCACAGTGCGCGGTTTTAGCTGGTGTTGTTTGTGACCCTCCTCTCCATCTCTCCCAGAATCTCTGACTCCTCCTCCCTCTTCCTTCCTTCCTTCCTTCCTTCCTTTATGCTTCCTTTCCTCTGTTATCCCCTTCTTTAGATTTGTTGATCCTCCCTCCTCTCCATCTCTCCTTAAATCTCTGACTCTTCCTCCCTCTTCTTACTTACTTCCTTCCCTCCCTCCTTCTTCCTTCCTTCCTTCCTTCCTCCCTTTATGCTTCCTTTCCTCTGTTATCCCCTTCTTTAGATTTCGTTGATCCCCTCTCTCCCTCCCTCCTCTCCATCTCTCCTTAAATCTCTGACTCTTCCTTCCTTCCCTCCCTCCCTCTTCCTTCCTTCCTCCCTTTATGCTTCCTTTCCTCTGTTATCCCCTTCTTTAGATTTGTTGATCCCTCCCTCCCTCCTCTCCATCTCTCCTTAAATCTCTGACTCTTCCTCCCTCTTCTTACTTCCTTCCTTCCTTCCTTCCTTCCTTTATGCTTCCTTTCCTCTGTTATCCCCTTCTTTATATTTGTTGATCCCTCTCTCCCTCCTCTCCATCTCTCCTTAAATCTCTGACTCGTCCTCCCTCTTCTTCCTTCCTTCCTCCCTTTATGCTTCCTTTCCTCTGTTATCCCCTTCTTTAGATTAGTTGATCCCTCCCTCTCTCCCTCCTCTCCATCTCTCCTTAAATCTCTGACTCTTCCTCCCTCTTCCTTACTTCCTCCCTTCCTTTATGCTTCCTTTCCTCTGTTATCCCCTTCTTTAGATTTCGTTGATCCCTCCCTCCCTCCTCTCCATCTCTCCTTAAATCTCTGACTCTTCCTCCCTCTTTCTTCCTTCCTTCCCTCCCTCCCTCTTCCTTCCTCCCTTTATGCTTCCTTTCCTCTGTTATCCCCTTCTTTAGATTTCGTTGATCCCTCCCTCCTCACCATCTCTCCTTAAACCTCTGACTCTTCCTCCCTCTTCTTCTTCTTCTTCTTCTTCTTCATCATCTTTGTTTTCATTTCCCCCCCTCTCTCCTCTCTTTGGTAATCCCTCCATCCCTGCTCTGTCTTTTGTTGTTGTTTTTGCTCTTTTCTCTGTTTCCTCTCCTCATCCTCACACCTTTATCTCCCTCCCTCCCTCCCTCCCTCTCTTCATCCTCGACACATATTTTACACCTTTGTTATTTCCCCCTTTAGATTGCTCCTCTCTCTCTTAATCCCTCCCCCTCCTCTTCCTCTGCTGTTTTTATTTCTCACATCTCTCTAAATTTCCTCTCTCTCTGTGTTTTTATTTTTTTCCACATTTCTCTGGATTTCCTCCCTTCTCTCCTCACATTTATATTTCCCTCCTCCCTCCCTCCCTCCCTCCCTCCCTCTCTCCCTCCCTCCCTGCTCTTCACAAACACGCCTGTAACCATGCCCTTTCCCTCTTCAAACTAATTACCTCGGCTACCTTGTACCCGCCGCCCCGCGGGACTCCAACAACTGTCAGACCAGTATTATTTTTGAAATTTAAACAATCATCTTACGTGCGCTGCTGCTAAGATCCTGGCCTTTTCGGCAGCTTCGACCTTCAGTAATTAATACCCCAGGGCCCATTATTGGCAAAGCCTTTATCCTCTGGGCCAAGAAGCCTCTAACCCGCTAATTACGGCCAAGCAGCTAATCTTCCAGCCGCATGATTGACAGCTACACCTATTCTACTAATTGCCTGTTGCAGACAACACCTGGTGAACCGCAGCGCCGGGGGACAGCGCCGCGCTCCGACAACGCCTATGGGTCCTGGGGGAGGCCAAACAAGTGAGGGGGGCTCTGTGTTTGAGTGTGTGTGTGTGTGTGTGTCTTTACGAGCAGACAGCTGAGTGTGTTTACATGCAGCAGAGGAAGATGTGGGTTCATACAGTTTATTGTATGTGCAGCCAGAGCGTGAACAACATGTTGCTTATCGAACATCCAGAAAATAAATCACAACAAGCTCACCTGAAAATATCGAGCGAGTGTTTCAGTCACACCTGAGCTTTCTCTGTCTTTATGAGGACACACCTGAGGGCACATTGGAGGAAGTACAGTGAGTTCAGGGCGTGTCCAGCGCCGTACAGGTGGCGTTTAATCTGGACGCAGATTTGTTGTCGTGAACCAAAACAAACGGAGACTTGAAGCTTTAAAATGTGACTCTCTGAGCTGCTGATTGGTCGGGGTTTTAGCGATGCTGGACTCCAGACCAAAGACTGAAACCAGGTTTTATCAGGTTAGACCTCCAGTCTGCTTCAGTACACTGTTAAAGATCTATCAGTGACGTTAGTACGTTAGTATGAAAAATGCAGATGTTGTTCTCAGTCTCTGTCAGTCACTCTGAAATGTGTTTGATTGGTTCTATAGATAAATATAAGACATTTATAAAGAGATAAAATTAAAGTTTGATTGTTTATGTTTCAGATCCAAAAGCATTAATATGTATCACAGCGTGTGCAACAAACTAAACGTAACGATTGTAATTAATTCTTATAAAACAAAAAGCAGTGTGTGACACATCAGGACTTAATGATCATCTGACTGTGTCATACTTCACTGTTTTTATGTTTCACTGTAACTTTTTAAGGTATATCTGTTTTACATTTTATTTTATCATATTTCACTATTTTCATATTTCACTATTTTCATATTTCACTGTGTCATATTTCACTGAATCATATTTCACTGTATCATATTTCACTGTTTTCATATTTCACTGTGTCATATTTAACTGTTTCATGTTTCACTGTTTTCATGTTTCTTTGTATCTTTTTAAACTGTTTTACATTTTATTTTATCATATTTCACTATTTTCATATTTCATTGTTTCATATTTCACTGTATCATGTTTCAATGATTATATTTCACTATCATGTTGCACTGTCATATATCATTGTATCATATTTCACTGTATCATGTTTCAATGATTATATTTCACTATCATGTTGCACTGTCATATATCATTGTATCATGTTTCACTGTATCATATTTCACTGTCATATATCATTGTATCATATTTCACTGTATCATATTTCACTGCATCATATTTCACTGAATCATATTTCCCTGTATCATACTTCACTGCATCATATTTCACTGAATCATATTTCCCTGTGTCATATTTAACTGTATCATATTGCACTGCATCATATTTCACTGTCATATTTCACTGTATCATATTTCACTGTGTCATGTTTCACTGTGTCATATTTCACTGTATCATATTTCACTGTATCATATTTCCCTGTGTCATGTTTCACTGTATCATGTTTCACTGTATCATATTTCACTGTATCATATTTCCCTGTGTCATGTTTCACTGTATCATGTTTCACTGTATCATATTTCACTGTATCATTTCCAACTGTATTAAATCTTTGGACAGTGATTTTACTGCATTATTAACTCTGACTGTTTTACTTCGTATCATTTCTTGCAGAAAGCAGTCGTGTCCATGAAACTGTGTTGGACCGTGAAGAAGGTTGGAGAGGCTGCACACAGACGTCCTCACAGGTGAACCCGGGTTTACCTGTAGATGACGGTCAGATGAAGGTGAGTGATGTGGTTTCAGAGGTGTGGCCTTTTTCTTTAAACCAACATTATTATCACTCTCTTTCTCTGATATCCTCAGATATGTTACATCATTAACGTTCACATCATCTCTGCAGAACCGTGTTTGTCATGATTTTACTGTTTTCTCTCATTAATCTTAAAATAAAGAAACTTTCCATCTCCATCCAGTAAAAAGATTTAATGAAATACAGTGAAAATGTCCCATGATGCATTGTTCACTGTTGTATGGTGCGTCCTGTATATGTGACCTTACTTCTGTCGTACACTGGTGATGACGGGTGTGTTGGGCTGTGGACGGATCCTCACAGGGGGATCAACCTCTGCTGTGGTCTGTGGGTTCAGACCGACCTGACCTGCAGGAACCCTCCTCTCTCTCTCCATCTGATCTCAACTGTGATTGGACGATCTGCAGACGCGGTAAAAACACGAGAATTAAGCGAGTAGATGACGAGACAGGGCGGTGTACAGGAACCAGCTGAAGGTTCAGGATGTTGGAAGTTAAACCCGCTCAGACGTGAGGCGGTTTCTGCTCCGTCTCTGAAACAGACCCGGTCACAGATGGTTCCTGTTGGTTTCTGTGGGCCCTGCTGTAAGAGACACACTGAGCATGTGCAGAGACTCTGTGTCTGCAGGTGTTTAACATTTATCAGTATTCTGAGCCCGAACCCGGGTCCTCTGAGTTTGTTCACAGAGTCCAAACATGTTCTCCGGGGCGTGTTAAAGGTTCCTCTCTTATCCTGTGACAACAGAGCTGCACTTATTTATCATTTCTTTCAGATAACTTTACACTAAAGGTCACGAGGTCTGCGGCGCCCCCCTCCTGACGCCCCTCACTTGTTCTTCAGTGGCGGTTTAATCGGCGTGTTGGCGAGTTGGGGTTTGCAGAATAAGTCGGAGTGATATCTGAGCGTCTGTCAGCAGCAGACGAGGAGGGGAGTGATGTCTGAAGGCAGCCGGGGGGGTTTGGGACTTCCTGTCAGTCTGCCTCCGTCTGACAGGCTGGTGAGGGGAAAAGGCCAGCGCTCTGAGGCCTAGCGTGGGGCCGCAGGCGTGAGGACGCCGCTTCCCGCACACCGCGACGAGAGGTCGCCTCCCGGTCCGACGGGACGCTCAGCGCCACCGTGTTGTGCAAATGTAACCCGTCACCCCCACGGCTCCTGACCTCGGCCTGGCAGCGCCCGGCGAGCAGCGATCGATTGATCTAAATAACATTATGACGTGATTAACATAAACGGGCTGCAGAGGGGCCACGCCGGCCCCCGCAGACCGGACCACACAGCAGGCAGCCGCACCACGGCGCCACGACACGGATCACAGAGTCAGAAAATCCATCTGGAGAGAGAGAGAGAGAGAGAGAGAGAGAGGGGGCGAGCTGCAGCCAAATGAGCAGATTATTGGAGTCAGAGAGGAACAACGAGCCGGAGTGAACTTTATAATTATCAGAGATTTACTGGACTTTACAGAACCGCTCAGAACCAGAAACAGCCTCAACGACATCAACTCAGTCACAAGTTAAAGTCAAGAAAATACTGAAGATACAAAAAACTAAAGAAAGTCCAGAACGATGGAAACCCTGAAATAAACTGGACCCTCCAGAACCTGCAGCTGAGAAAGACTCTCTTCATTCTGACAGGTTTTAATACGTTTAAAATCAGAGTAAAGTGAGTGTGGATCAGAGTCACCGAGGATGAAACGGGTCAACATCTGTGACCCTTCTGAGGTCCGTCCTCTTTAAAGTCAGAGTCAGTCATTTTTCAGTGTCTAACTCCTCACTCAGGAACCGTCCACCTGTCGTGTTTCAGCGATTTAACGTCAGCTACGTCTTTGTGTTGAGGATTATCTGTTCTCTTGTTTGTCCGTGAATCTTGAAGACTCTAAAGATGGACGTAAAGTTAAACTGAGTCGAGTTTAAATCATAATCTTAGACGGGTTTAACTCTTAAACTCAAACTTAAACTCTCCCCTCGACTAAGTTTAAGACTTAAACTCGTCACTGTTAATGTTTCTCAGCTAGCCTTAAGCTAGCATCAGAATTTACACAAGTGAAGCTCTGTGGTTGGATCTTTGACAGAGAAAAGCATTCTGGGAAATGTAGTAAAATTTCTTAATTCACTTCTGATGAAGCTCGGATTTAAAGATGAGAGACGAATGTTCAAGACGTTCAGAGATAGAAAAACAGCCTCTGGAAGAGTGTGTGTGTGTGTGTGTGTGTGTGTGTGTGTGTGTGTGTGTGTGTGTGTGTGTGTGTGTGTGTGTGTGGCGGTTCCTGACCGTTGGTCTGCAGAGTGTGTCGGCGGTCGTGGCGGCGGCTCATTTATCACTGAGCTTGAACAGAGATGATTAATCTGCTGCTGGAGCTTCACAGCTGTGAGAGACCCAGGGGGCGCTGTGGAGCTGCTGCTGCTGCTCTGGGACGCTGCTGTGTGTGTGTGTGTGTGTGTGTGTGTGTGTGTGTGTGTGTGTGTGTGTGTGTGTGTGTGTGTGTGTGTGTGTGTGAAGTGTCCATATGCTCTAAACTGTAAAACGTGTTTTTATGTTAAACTATGCTAGCTGCAGTTAGCTTTAGCCCTGTACACGCTAACCCCAGTCTGTGATTGGTTGTAACTCGTTCACTGTTTCACTCATTCATTCATTCACTCTGTGTTAACCCTTCTCTGTCCTGTTTGACTTTATCTGCTCCAGCGTCTCCAGAGTGTCAGAGTTTTTTTTTTCATCTTTCAGATCCATTTCCACCTCCAGCCACCTTCTCACACACACACACACACACACACACACACACACACACACACACACACACACACACACACACACACACACACACACACACACACACACACACACACACACACACACACACACACACACACACACAGATAGGCCCTGGGGCTTGTGGGTAGTGGCGGTGGGCAGACCTGCAGCTCTGCAGCTGTAAAAGCAGTAAATGGAGCAGAAGAGTTTTCAGCTCGACGCTCAGAGAACTTTTACCGCCGAAGAACGATGGCGCCGCCTCAAACAGCCTCACCCCCAATTTTCACCGCATCCGGAACCGTTCCCAACCGGTTTCCTGCCAATTTCTACCAGATCCGTTTGTGAGGCGAATTTTATGGCGGATTAACGGACAGCAGGAATCGTGAGAACTCACAAGAACCCCGGGGAATTAACGTTCGATCACACGATAACGAGTCGTCTCTCTAAAGACAGACACATAGACATATAAGCAGTAGATTGTGTCCTTCCAGAGGAGGAAATCTACTTCTAGACTTCTAGAATCAGCATCTCCTCATCCATGGTGTCATCGGGGTGAAATGACGTCTAAAAACCTTTCACTTGTTCGTCTCCGCCCGTTTGCATGGTGTGAAATACGATCCTCCTGAAACACGGAGTGTTTTATTTTGAAAAGAAGCCGGATGTTTTATTTTGTGTCTGTGCCCGACTTCCTTTCCAGCACGGGTTAATCTGTGCTGAATTTATCCGCCATGCTCCGGCGTCCAGAAAAAATAGAACTCTTGTGATCAGCTGAGGAGTCCGGCGATCCGCAGAGGAACGGAAAGAAGTCGGTGTAAATTGACACGTTAACTTGAATGGTTACGATCAGCTACGATCGGAGGATACGACCTTTTAGGAGACCATCAGGATGAAGGTGGAGGTCGGGGGTCAGGGTTTATTTTTATTCCACTTTAGTTTGTTTTTTGAGCGGGAACATCAACATGATTCAGACCCTGACCTCTGATTTAGTCCAAGAACTCGGACTAAAGGTCCTCACACACCGGGGCCGACGCAAATATAGAACACAAAATCACAAAATATTCTGAGGAGAATTTTGACGCTCCTGACTAAACACATAAAGCCCGATGTGATTCTGAGACTTTCTGGGGAGGAAAAGACGCATCCAAGGGAAGATTTTTCCTGGTTAAAGTCCCGCCTCCTTCTCCTCTGATTGGCTAGAAAAACTGGAAACGTCATCACACACTCAAGCCAAACAGTCAGCACTCAGAGGCAAAGGAGGTTGGGACCTTCCCTTACCTACAGCGTCCCAGGTGGAAGCGAGAAGACTAAAATGGAGTCTACTTCAACTTGAAGTGATGGTGAGTTGGTCGTCCTTTAGTTTTCTCTAAAGGACGGGAAAACGTCGCTGATGTGACGCTTGTATTGACAGGATACGGGTTCGAAAAAAAATATTGACGTCTGAATTAATCGCAGGATAAAAACGGTCCTAGAGTGAAAGGAGCTTAAATCTAAACTCATCATTTTTCAGGGTCAACCCTGAAAGACTGGAGACACACACTGAGCTCTGATTGGACAGGTAGACAGGTGAACCTGATCAGCTGATCGACCTCCTGTCAGTCAATCATGTCCTCAGATCCTCAGGAGTTTAAAGAAGGAAACACGATTTCTTTTCCAACAGTGATGTGTGTGTGTGTGTGTGTGTGTGTGTGTGTGTGTGTGTGTGTGTGTGTGTGTGTGTGTGTGTGTGTGTGTGTGTGTGTGTGTGTGTGTGTGTGTGTGTGTGTGTGCGTGCGTGCGTGTGTGGTTAATTACCTCTCGGCGCCCTCTCTCACTCTGCTAATGAAGCGCTGACTGTCTGTTTTTGATGAATGGGAGGCGTCACGTTCAAACATGATAAATCGGACTCAGCCTCTCCGGACATCAGAAACACAACGCCGTCCGAGCTCTGCAGCATGGGATCATGGGTAAATTAGACCTGAGCGAGGAGACTGAGGAGTGAGGCATTGTGGGAAGTTGTGTGTGGAAATCATGGGGGCTGACAGGCGCACAGAGCTGAAATGTCAGGCCCCCGAAGAGAGAGAGAGAGAGCCTGTCTGACGGAGGGAGGGAGGAGCTAAACACAGACGGAAAAGTCCGACTGACTGTGGTGGACACACACACACACACACACACACACATACACACACTGACAGACACACACACACACTGACACACACACAGACAGACACACACACACACTGACACACACACTGACAGACACACACACACACTGACACACACACAGACAGACACACACACACACTGACACACACACTGACAGACACACACATACTGACACACACACTGACACACACACACACACACACACTGACAGACACACACACCCACTGACACACACAGACAGACAGACACACACACCCACTGACACACACACACAGACACACACACACAGACACACACACTGACACACACACTGACAGACACACACATACTGACACACACACTGACACACACACACACACACTGACAGACACACACACCCACTGACACACACAGACAGACAGACACACACACCCACTGACACACACACAGACACACACACACTGACACACACAGACACACACACACTGACACACACAGACACATACACACACAGACACACACACACACTGACACACACAGACACACTGACACACACACACAGACACACTGACACACACACACACACACACACACACACACACTGACACACTGACACACACACTGACACACACACACAGACACACTGAAACACACACACACACACACACACAGACACACTGACACACACACACACACACACACACACACACACACACTGACACACACAGACAGGTTAAAGCATAAACCCAAAAACCCTGTTGTTTTAGGGTTACTCCTAAACATGTCTGTGTGTGTCAGTGTGTGTGTGTTTGTCAGTGTGTGTGTGTGTCTCCCTGCTCGTCGTCTGTCAGGCTCACACTCTAAAGACACTCAGTCAGACTTTAATGCTCCTACCAGGACAGTGATTATCACCTCTGTAATCCTACAGTTCATTAGCCCCCCCCCCCCCAATATCTTCATTATTAAGTTGGAGAAGTGCAGGACTCTGGGGACCTCCTCCTCCTCCTCCTCCTCACTAATGCATTAAAGGAGGTGTAGACAGGAATCTGTTAAAGAAGCATCTTTTTATTTTGTGGTTTTTATACAAAAATCTTCTAATATCAGTCAATAGTTATTAGTTATTGATTATTTGGTAATATATCGATATCTCTGTGTTCTCTTATGTCTGTGTCGTCAACATTTGAACATTTTTGAGCGGTCCGCTCTTTCTGACTGTAAACAAAGCCGTTCTCCACCTCCTCTAACCTGATTGGTTGTGAGGCAGACGCTGCTCCCCCGTGTCGTTCAGGAGCCCAAACAAAGTTAGCGTGCTACAATATCGGACAGTAGAAACCAACCAGAAAGTTCGGAAAATTGTCTGAATCCTCCTTTGGCCACGACTGCCGACACAAGCAAGAAAACAAAGTAAATACCGGAGACTCTGGAGGAATAACGGGCGCTTAAAACGGAGGTAGACCGGACAAGAGCTAAAAAGACGGGTCACGCTGCGTTCTTGTTTCCTCAGACCTCAGACATCGGAGCTAAAAACGGCGTCACACCTGAGTTCCCAGCGTTTCAGTTACCAAGTCGGAAAAAAGCAAAATCGGAGACCTGAAACAAGATGGCTGCATCTACGAAAGTTATTTTAGTTCCTGTCTTGACCAAATAGACTTAGTTCCTCTTGTTCCTATTGGACCATCGGGCGATGAGTCCCCTCCGTTTGCTCCGGTCCTTAGCGACCCTTCTCTCTCTCCATACCAGCTGACTCCCGTCTCGCTCAGGTCTTCCTCGGCTGTTCGTCTCCTTGTCTTCTTTGGCCTCCCTCTATCGCCACACTTGCCCGCCTCTCTCTTGGCGGTCAGAGTTCATGTCCGGTCTTTCTCTCTCTCCTGTCAGAGACGATGTCAGACGAAGGTGCTTCACCTGTCCTCTTCATCACCTCTTCATCGGTGATGTGGTCTCTCCATGAGATCTTCAGGATGGATCTGAGGCCCCGTCGATGGAGGACATCAAACTTGTTGGTGATGCTGCCTGTCTTCGTCCACGTCTCACAGGCGTAGGTCGCTGTAGGGATGTCCACTGACATATAGAGGCGTAGCTTTGTTGCCGTGGTGATGGATTTCAACAACCAGATGTTCAGGAGTCGTTGGAAGACTCCTGCAGCTTTGCCAGTTCTGGTCTTTCTCCAGTGTTTGAGATGTTGCTTCTGAAGTGAAGTTCTCCACCTTCTCTTTGTCTGTTCACCGATGGTGAGCGGTGGAAGGTGTTGATGTTCTTCGACGGTCCTGGTCCTGGTCTTTTCTTGGCTCATACGTAGACCGACTTTTGCTCCTCGCTCATGCAGGTTGTTTGTCAATTCTTGGAGCGCAACATGGGTGTGGCTAATGAGCGCCGAATCGTCTCCGGTCGGCCCCCTCCCCACTTGATGCCGTCGTGTGAGGAGGAGGAGGACCTGGTCAGTCCCTGGTCCTTCATCTGAGGGCATCATGGAGACACAACGATCACTTTGTGTTTCTGTCGGACTCTGACCCCCCACAGAGACCCAGATACCTGCTCAGACTGGACCACAACACACCGGCCTGGACCCGGACCCTCCTCTGGTTGTTATGGTGAGAGGGAGACCATGGTTCACACACACACACACACACACACACACACACACACACACACTACCAACCCAACCCCGAGACGACCAATCAGCTGCAGGCCAGCGGTCAAACTCCTCGTCTGCATTATGCATGAAGGAAAGTCCTCAGAGGAGACCGAGGAGTCCACTCCTCTCAGACTGTTTACACTGTGTGTGTGTGTGTGTGTGTGTGTGTGTGTGTGTGTGTGTGTGTGTGTGTGTGTGTGTGTGGGTCACAGGGGGTTAGAAACGTCCGTCCTGAGCAGCCTGACTGACTGACTGACTGACTGACTGACTGACTCTCTGCTCAGAGGAGGATCAGAGCAGGTGAACTGACGGTGGTCAGAATTATCGGACCTCATCCTCAGTTTGAGTCTTTTGTTCAGAGAAGAAGAAGAAAGAAAACCTCTAATCTTTGTCTGATCTCCTCACAGCGCCCCCTACAGGTCAGTCTCTGAGTTCATGTTTGTAACATATTTAACATCATTTAAAAACAAAAGTCTGATAATTGATAAAAATGATGTTAAAGGAAACTCGTCGGTCCAAACCTGACGAGGAAGTTCTGCAGAACCAGAACCAGAACCAGAACCAGAACCTGGTTTACAATGAAGTGGGAAAATTCACTAAAGAAGTCCCTGAGGTCATGTGATCATGAGGATTATTACCCCCCAGTCAGAGTGTAAATGAGACTCAGTGAAGAATAAAATCGATCGATTTCATTGGTCGTTGATTGAGAGGTGTGGCCACGGTGGGTCATCAGCTGTTGGTGTTTCGCCGTGAAACAGGAAGTGACAACGTTCACTCTGTTTGATGTTTCAGGTACAGGACCAGGTGGTCTACAAAGACCTTCATGATGATTGGTCCACGGACCCTGCTGCTGAACTCTGACCTCTGACGGTGCGTCGCTGTTCGTCACTGATTGAAGCTTTAATTCTGTTTGTTGTCTCCATGGTAACCTCATGGTATATTAGTGTGTCACATAAATAAGAACAGCTGTGTGTGTGTCTGACCCCCCCACTCCGTATTAAAGGTGTAACGACTCGGTCATGTGACTAAACGAGCCGCTTCCATGTTTTAAGGTGGAGAGATAAAGTCTCGTTAAGGTGGACAAGCTGCCGCCGCCGCCGCCGCCGCTCTGATCGCTCTGCAGCTTTGATTAGAGAGCGAGAGGATAATGGGTGGCATTTTCTGAGGCCTGTCAGGCGGAGGAGGGAAATGATTTAACGGCCTCTCTGCCCCCCCCTCCCGGTGGTTTTGATCTATTTTTTACTGCCTGTCTCAGTCATTTATCACCAGCAGAACGGCGAGTAAAGTAATCTGACATTAGCACCCAGTGACTAATACCTCAGGAAAGGAAAGGAGAGAAAGGAGGGAGGGAGTGAGGAGGGAGTGACGGAGGGAGGGAGTGAGGAGGCGGCGCTCTGTGGTCTGAATAAATCATGGCGCTCGTCTTCTGGGTTAAACACGGACATAAAAACCAGCAGAGACGTCGGGTTTGGCCTCTGAACCTCAACGAGAAACAGAGAAGGAGGAGAGGAGGACCTGATCCTTATGAATGAATGAATGAATTTATGAATGAGTGAGTGAGTGAGTGTGAGGGATGATCTTCATCTGACCGGCTGTTCATGTTAAAGTTTGTACAGAAACTTCAGAACTTTGATTAAAAATGACCTTAGATACCAAAGTCTATGTAATAAACCTTTACCGTAATGACCCTAATATACGTGACTACAGGCTCTAGATTCCTCTGAGAAGACCTCTGTGGATTATCTTGTGGTCTGTTGTGGTCTGTTGTGGTCTGTAAAAACTCTGATAAAACAGTTTGACTGACATCTTCACAATCCTCTCTGTTTGTGGGCGGTGCCTGTTGACACCTGGTTACCATGGTTACACCTGCTGTAACACCACCTTCAATATGAGATTACAGGTCCAAACGAAACGAGTTCAAACCGCTGACAGGACGGTATTAAAACCCGAGTGTTTGACTGACGGACTCGTCGTCCTCTGAGGAGCTCAAACCTCCGAAAATACCAAATATTTACCCTCTAATCCTTCGCTGCAGTTTAGCAGCTTCAGTCTGGGTAAAAGCTCAGTATTGGAGCTAATGCAGCCTTGAAGAGTGGAGTTATCAGAGCCCAGAGAGGAGAGGCGTGCGGGGTCATTATCATGGGCAGCGGTCTCTCAGAGATGAGAGAGTCGGCTCTCAGTTTCCCCTCGATGGCAATTAGACGAGTGTGATGGGATGAACTTCAGTGTTTTAGCCACGAGCGAAAAACTCTGCTGTCAGGCTGCTGCTGCTGCAGCTGACGACCGAGAGAGAGAGAGAGGGGGAGAGAGGGAGAGGGGGGGGGTATCCAGAGCTCCTCTCTGCAGCTCGCTGAGGAAAGTCTGAGAAGTTTCAGGTAAAGGTGTCGGACCTTCAGGTAGGACTGACACACACCTCCATGATCCAATCAGAGCTCATGTTTACTCAGAACCTTCATCAGTCGATCACATGATCATCACCTGCACAGGTGAGGCCAGTCAGAGCGGTCAGCAGGTAAATCCTGATACCTGAGAGTCTGAAGCTTCTCCGTGAAGAGGACCGTAGACCGGTCCAGAAGTCCTCCTCAGTCCTCAGACTGACAGGAGACCTGGACCTGAGCTGGAGGCTGAAGGTCTGTCAGGAGGACCTTCATTATTCCCTCCTCAGCTGCTGAAACTCCACCCTGTCCAGAACCATCAGAACCAGGACTCTGTACTGAGCAGGACCAAGGACTGACCCGGGAACTCCACTGGATCCAGAACAGCTCCGCTCCGGACCGGCAGGTGGATCAAATACACAAGCATGTAGCGCCCACTGGACCTGATCCACCGCCGCCATCGGTGTTTCTAAACCCCCACGTCCCTCAGCCCCGACCTCTGCTGTCATCAAGAACAGATTCACTTCCTGACTTTCTTTTATTTTGAAAACTAACAGGATATTTTACTCTGTAACCGTAAACAACTTCCTCTGCTGGTCGCGCCGCGCAGGATTGATGCGCCGTGCTGCGGCGTCCGGCAAAGGTAGAAGGCTTCTGTATCTGATCAGACCGCCGGAGCCGATCCACAGCGGAGCCGGACGCCGGACAGATTCTGTGGAATGACCTTCGTTCATTCTAATGTTTACGTATTTGATCCACCTGCTGTGGCGGAGCAGAGCGGTTCGGGGTCCTGTGGGTCTGTGGTCCTTCAGACCCGGTCTGTGGTCCTCATGGTGACTCACTGATTGGGGTCTGATTGATCCGGAGTCTCTGACCGACCTTCTGTGTCTGATATTAAAGCTTCAGTTTTCCAGCAGACTGCTCCCTCATGAACACATGAACATGAACACATGAACATGAGTGAAGTCCACTTCCTGAGTTTTTCCTGTGTTCCTGCAGCTGGACTCGGGTTTGAGACCTTGGCTGGGACTCGGCGTGGAGGCTCCAGGCCTGAACTCCGGTGAGGTTATCAGAGGTCATGAGGTCAAACGTGTACGCTTTTTCAGAGCGGAGACAAATTCACTTTTTTAGATGAAATGAGATTTTCTCTGAGTTTTTCGGCGAGCAGCAGGTCCGAACTTTTGAAGACGATCCAGAAAGGCTCTGAAATGAAAGGAGGTCCGGTGTCTGAGCACAAAGAGTCGGGAAAAGACGAATTTCTGTGAAAGGAGTGAAGGTCCTTGGAATCGTCAGAGGACGGCAGCAGATCTTCACTCCTGCTGTTGTTTTTGTGTTTTCTGTTTTTTAACCTCGGTTATCGATCAGCTGCAGAAACTCCACAAACGGACCAATCCCGGCAGACGGAGAGATTTCAGGAAACAACCTTGGAGATGACGGAGAGAAGCATCGCCGCTCAGACGCTGATTTATTTATCACATCACTCCTGGCTCATGTGCCATCCTCCTCCTCCTCCTCCTCCTCCTCCTCCTCCTCCTCTTCTTCTTTTCCTCCTCCTCCTCTGTGTCTCGGGGAAAATCAAACTGACAGACGTGAGGAGAGATGGTGATGATGACGGAGTGACAGGAGCAGATTTCAGCGCATTAGTCAGAGGATCTCAGAGGGAAAGACGTCGAGCCGGAGAAAAACTTCTTCATGAGTCTGCTGCTGCCGTCTGCTCCAGCATCCGTCTGACCTTTGGCCTCTACGTCAGATCGGACCCAACTTTCTCAGTCAGTCTCATCCAGGACCGCAGAGTGTACCTGATGTATGTCAGTTACATGTCCCTGTCATACATCAGTGTTCTACGTGTTTCTGATGATAACAATGATAATAATAATAATAATAATTAAATAATAATAATAATGATGATAATAATAATAAAAACAATAAAAATATTAAAAACAATAAAAAATAATAAAAATAATTAAATAATAATAATAATAATAATAATAATAATAATGATAATAATAATAAAAACAATAAAAATATTAAAAACAATAAAAAATAATAAAAATAATTAAATAATGATAATAATAATTAAATAATAATAATAAAAATAATAATACTAATAATCATAATAAGAATAAAAACAATAAAAAATAATATAGATAATTAAATAATGATAATAATTAAATAAGAAGAATGAAAATAAAAATTATAATAAAAATAATTAAATAATAAGAATAATAAAATTTATAATAAAAATAATTAAATAATAATAAAAATAGTGATAATTATAACACTTATAATAACAATAATTTATTATTATTTCGTTGTTATTATTTTATTATATTTATTATTATTATTATTATTGTATTATTATATTATATAACTATTGAATGTACTTAATCATTATGTACATCCATACATGAGGATCAGTCAGTGAGTCAGACAGACGGCTGCAGCAGGTACATTCGGACCTTTGTTCCGCCCTGAGTTTGGCCTCTCAGGCTGAGACAAACATTCAAACATAGTTTTAAAACTTTTTACGAACTTTAAATATTTTGTAGTAAGAAACTTAAATCTGATTGTGTCTCTGTTAGGGAAACTAATGTGGAGGTTTACTCTGAGAAGAGGGAACAGAAAGGGTTAAGTGAGCTGAAGGTTCGTGTCCCTGCAGACCCTCTGTTTTTACTCCTAAAATAAGTTTTTAATGAATGTGTGTAACTTTTTGATTTCGTCCTGGATTTGTCAAACTGTTCTCCTGTAAACAGGAAGTGGTCTAATTGGATCTGGCAGATTCTGCGTGTGATGGATTTCATCATGAGCTACAAAAAGAAGAATTATTTCTGACAGGCAAACAGACTGTCGGTGCTTCTTATTAATGGTCTGCTCTTAATTTAAGTGAGCGACTGTCATTAAAACGCTGAGACGCTCGTCCTCTTCGAGCTTTTTCCACCACACGATTTATCTTTTTGGCTGCTTTAAGCCTCCAATTTGTAATGAGTTATTGGGCTGTTCCCCGATATTCCCCTGTGATTGAGCAGGAAGTATTCGGGACATGATTTATAGATGTTAATTGTGGTGTTCAAAAAATTCACAATGGAGTACAGGAGGAGGAAAAAGAGGAGGAGGAGGAGGAGGAGGAGGAGGGGGTGGTGCACATCTGGAGAAGTCATCATGTCTAAAGCCAAGTTTCTGGTCCTGGGAGGAAAGTAAAAGCCAAGCTGAATGTGAACTAAGCTGCACCCTGGAGAGTACAAAATATTTTCCCCCGTCAGCTCGGCCCCGGGCCCCCAGCTCGGCCCCAGGCCCCTCAAATCCCACATGTGCCGACCTCCACCGAACCCGGGTCCACATCAGATCCAGCTCTGCAGGAGCTCGGAGCGCTCGCTGCCCAAACAAGACATTTTTGTATTTGATATTAAAGCAGCATCAGGCGGGACATCCATCACTGAGGGGGGAGGAGGGGTGAGGAGGGGTGAGGATGGGAAAACAATGTGTCTCCTCCTAAAACAGGACCCACCTGCAGCTCCTCCGTCGCTCCCATCAAACCAGAGAAGTTCATGAAAATGAGTTAAAGTGCGTCCAGAGGAGCTGATGACCCCGCCCCCTCCGCCCACCCCCGCCCCCTCAGACTCCATCAGTCAGTCCATCCGTGACCTCACATGTTTTCCACACAGACGCCGCGGTGACCGCAGAGTTTTAAAGGTGAAGCATTCTGGGAAACGTTCACTTTACTCCCGTTCAGATTTATGGAGGGTCCTGGTCTACATCGGGGTCTTCACGATCCTCTTCACACTCTGAGACCCAGATCAGCTCTTCATGAACCGGGTCTGAACCTGAGTCCAGACCCTCCGTCTTCTGCAGAAACTGTTTGGAAACTGGACTTTATTTTTTAAAACTTACATTTATTTTAATCATTTATTTTTAATCATAATCTTTGATCCAACAAAGTCCTCCAGGTGGTCCACCAACATCCTTAAATCAAGGGGAACTGTCTGAGACCTCACTTTGGGGTCTGGATCAGACTGAAGAGTCTCTGAAGATGACAAACCAAGAGAACAGAAACTGACGTAAATGTGACTCAAACATGATTTAAACGTGATTTAACAAAACTTAAACATGACTTTAACAGAACTTAACCGTAACTTAAACAGAACTTAAATGTGACTAAAATGTAACTTAAAAATGTGATTTCAAAAATGACTTTAAGTGACTTTAACATGATTTAACAAAACTTAAACATGACCTTAACGTGATTTAAACATGACTTTAACAGAACTTCACCGTAACTTAAACAGAACTTAAATGTGACTAAAATGTAACTTAACGATGTGATTTCAAAAATGACTTTAAGTGACTTTAACATGATTTAAATGTGACTCAAACATGATTTAAACGTGATTTAACAAAACTTAAACATGACTTTAACAGAACTTAACCGTAACTTAAACAAAACTTAAATGTGACTAAAACGTAACTTAAAAATGTGATTTCAAAAATGACTTTAAGTGACTTTAACATGATTTAAATGTGACTAACTCCTTGTGTGAAATAAACTTAGTTCACATTCAGTTAGTCTGGGAACCTTTACAGTAACTTTACATGATTTTAATCTTTAAAAATAAAAGATCATTTTATGTCTTTATTTATTTTTTTCGGACGGCGACGCTGACCTTCCCAGATCTCCTTCCTGACGGTGAGTTCGTCGGCTCAGCTTCGTTCGTCTGCAGGAGGTCTGATTTCCAGGACAGGGTCAGGTCTTCTTTAAAAAACCGAAGACCACGTTTATTCTGAAACCACATCTGTGAGGAAGAGGAAGTGGATGTGTCCTTTCAGAGTAAAGTTCAGATGGTGGTGTTTGTAAACTCAGCCTGACCATGAATTTACATGAACTCACATGTTAGAGACGCTGCCGGGGGACTTTCCCGCCCCGCCGTCATTCATGAAGCTCTCAAAGGATTGTGGGAAGCCTGAGGATGATGAATGTATACGCCCTCCCTCTGCTCTCCGTTGGCACGATGCTCCTCAAAGGTTTCCTCCTGATGTTTCTTCTTCTGTCTTTTATTTCTGTGCGCCCCCCCCCCCCCCATCTCTCGCTCAGGTTAACCCGCCCCCCCCCCCCCCGGACCCTCCCCTTTCTTCCCTCTCAACATCTTTGAGTTGTGGAGCTGAACAGATGGCAGAACATGTAGCTGACCTAAAATACATCCCTCCTCTGGGAGACGTTTGCAGCTCTCAATATGGCCGAGCTTCCTCCTATAAGCGACGGCGAGGAGCGGAGCGGAGATGGCCGACCGGGCGGGGATGAGGAGATCCATCTCGACGGACAGGGAGACGAAAACCTAAACCAGAACCCGAACTGCATGAGTGACATTTAGCAGCAAATGTAGATCTGTTCTCAGAAGTATAAATATGGCAGCAGGTGATCCCGGCTCTTGGCAGGGATCCGTTCCTTGGCTCGGCGCTCCGGCTTCTCTTCCCGTCCGCGGTCCCAGCAGACGCCACAAAGCCAGCTCTGCTGTTTATTTTCTATCTATACTGTTTATTACATATGGAGCCAAAACATTAGAATAAAATATGATATGTGGAGGCGATGTGGGCCAGCAGCTCGCTCTGACTCAGGTGGATCCGGCGTCTCCAGAGAGGACGCTTTCAGCTCTGCAGTTTGGGGTTTTGATGGCGTCTCTTTGTTTGTCCATTACTGCAGTATTTTCACCGCTTTAGTACACATGTGAGCCGACTGACTACTCCAACTTCAGCTCCATCAATAAACAGATGAGTGTTTTAAAACAGGAAGAACAGATCTGTGGAGTTCTTCTACAGATCCAGGTTTAATCAGCACCTCTGAAAAAACAGCCTCAGACTCGATAATCATCTCCGTCACCAGGACGGACAGACGGACAGGAAACACCATCAGGATGGACTAAACTCCACCTGGTTCAGATGTGGTTAAAAAACCCTGTCCCTGTGGAGGTTTTGTCCTGGACTCCTTTGTCTTCGTCACTTTGTGATCTGACAGTTTCAGGATATTTAGGACCAGCTTGTTGGAGCAGGATTGGTTTTATATTTACTCTCACTATATTGACTCGTACCGTGGACCGGCTGACCCGTCTTAAACCCAGACCAGCTCCAGCTCCCACAAAGACATCCAGGTTCAGTTTCCAGTGAGGGGACTGGACAAAGTTCCCGTCCCTGCAGCCGTAGAGACTCTTTCAGTCTGACTCCTTCAGTTTCCTTTAAACAGATATTTTTTAAACTGGCAGAGACTGAATTATTTCTGTAAGAACAGCTGATCTTTATATTTATTTATATACAATTATATTCATTTAGACCTATTAATATTTAACTGTATTCATTTTTATTTATTTTATATTTATTTTTCATTTAAATTTATTTGTATTTATGTAAATTTATTTATATTAATAATTTATATTCAATCAAATTTATTTATATTATTTATTTTTATTTTATATTTATTTTATTTATATTTATTTTATATTATTTATTTTTAGTTTATATTTATTTTTATTTATATTTATTTTATATTATTTATTTTTTATGATTTGTTTTTATCAATATTTTTAACTATATTTATTTATATTAATTCATATTATTTTAGTTTCAAATAAATAATTCATATTTATATTAATTTATTTAAGTTTAATTATATTACTTATTTTATTACATTTAATAAATATTGTTATATTTTATTATATTTATTTATATTTAAAAATCATTTATTTATATTTATATATTTTTATTTATATTTATATGTATTTATATTATCTTAAATTATTTTATTTATATTTATTTGTCTTTTATCTTTATATATATTTATTATTTTATTTATATTTATATTTAAAAATCATTTATTTATATTTATTTGTCTTTTATCTTTATATATATTTATTATTATATTTGTATGTATATATATTTTAAATTGTGCACGTTCACAGTCGCACACATGAACTCAGACGGTTGGACTTGATGGACCTCCTCAGACCTTCTGCCCCTGCCTGTTTTGAAGACCTCAGCAGACTTGAGGAGTTCCTTCCTGTTGATCTGGAGTTGGAGAACATCTTCTTCTCCTCTTCTTGTTGTTCTCATGCAGCAGGTCTGTTTTCTACCACCTCACTTTTTCCACATGATGCAGACGACTTGGTTTTTCCAGAGCTCAGCGTCATCTTCATCATCCTGTCTGCAGGAACCACATCAGTGTTTCTCTGTGAGTCAGAGAGAAGTCAGTCCACCTCTCAGACCTCCCCCTGAACCCGAGCTCAGCCTCACACCGCCTCCACAAACTCAAGACAGGAAGGAGATAATGTCACCAAGATGTGTCACAAACAAACACCAGCGCTGACACGGGTGACGAGGCCGAGGTCTCCAGGTTGTTGGCGAGCTCTCTGGATGTTTTCCCGACGTCTCAGCGTGAAGACACCATCGATCAGCGAGTGAATCCTCAGGACGGCGAGGTGAAGGACGTGATTTACGACGAAGATGACAGAGTCTGGAAGACGCAGACGTAATTATCGTCTGAACCGGAGTGATGTGGGGGTGACGCAAAAACGCTTTTGTTTGGGGTCAGACCGAAGGAGTCTGTGGAGGGGGAGCGTTTCTGAACGTGAGGGTGAACGAGTGAATCAACATGAGGGTGAGCGAGTGAATGAACGTGAGGGTGAACGAGTGAATGAACGTGAGGGTGAACGAGTGAATGAACATGAGGGTGAACGAGTGAATGAACATGAGGGTGAACGAGTGAATGAACGTGAGGGTGAACGAGTGAGTGAAGGTGAGAGTGAACGAGTGAGTGAACATGAGACAAAACATGAGAGTGAACATGAGAGTGAACGAGTGAACGTGAACATGAGGGTGAACGAGTGAATCAACATGAGGGTGAACGAGTGAGTGAACATGAGGGTGAACGAGTGAGTGAACATGAGGGTGAACGAGTGAATGAACATGAGGGTGAACGAGTGAATCAACATGAGGGTGAACGAGTGAATGAACATGAGGGTGAACGAGTGAATGAACATGAGGGTGAACGAGTGAATGAACATGAGGGTGAACATGAGAGTGAACATGAAGGTGAACGAGTGAATGAACATGAGGGTGAACGAGTGAGTAAACATGAGGGTGAACATGAGAGTGAACATGAGGGTGAACGAGTGAATGAACATGAGGGTGAACGAGTGAGTGAACATGAGGGTGAATGAGTGAGTAAACATGAGGGTGAACGAGTGAGTGAACATGAGAGTGAACGAGTGAATGAACATGAGGGTGAACGAGTGAGTAAACATGAGGGTGAACATGAGAGTGAACATGAGGGTGAATGAGTGAGTAAACATGAGGGTGAACGAGTGAGTGAACATGAGGGTGAACGAGTGAGTGAACATGAGAGTGAACGAGTGAGTGAACATGAGAGTGAACGAGTGAATGAAGATGAGGGTGAACGAGTGAGTGAACATGAGGGTTAACGAGTGAATGAACGTGAGGGTGAACGAGTGAGTGAACGTGAGGGTGAACGAGTGAGTGAAACATGAGGGTGAACGAGTGAGTGAACATGAGAGTGAACGAGTGAATGAAGATGAGGGTGAACGAGTGAGTGAACATGAGGGTTAACGAGTGAATGAACGTGAGGGTGAACGAGTGAGTGAACGTGAGGGTGAACGAGTGAGTGAACATGAGGGTGAACGAGTGAATCAACATGAGGGTGAACGAGTGAATCAACGTGAGGGTGAACGAGTGAGTGAAGGTGAGAGTGAACAAGTGAGTGAACATGAGACAAAACATGAGAGTGAACATGAGAGTGAACGAGTGAATGAACATGAGAGTGAATGAGTGAATCAACATGAGGGTGAACGAGTGAGTGAACATAAGAAGTAAATGTGTGAGTGAAGATGAGAGTGAACGAGTGAATAAACATGAGGGTGAACGAGTGAATCAACATGAGGGTGAACGAGTGAATGAACATGAGGGTGAACGAGTGAATGAACATGAGGGTGAACGAGTGAGTAAACATGAGGGTGAACATGAGAGTGAATGAACATGAGAGTGAACGAGTGAATGAACATGAGGGTGAACGAGTGAGTAAACATGAGGGTGAACATGAGAGTGAACATGAGGGTGAACGAGTGAATGAAGATGAGGGTGAGCGAGTGAATAAACATGAGGGTGAACGAGTGAGTGAACATGAGGGTGAACGAGTGAGTGAACATGAGGGTGAACGAGTGAATGAACGTGAGAGTGAACGAGTGAATCAACATGAGGGTGAACGAGTGAATGAACATGAGGGTGAACGAGTGAATGAACGTGAAAGTGAACGAGTGAATGAACGTAAGACTAAACATGAGAGTGAACGAGTGAGTGAACATGAGGGTGAATGAGTGAATGAACATGAGGGTGAACAAGTGAATGAACATGAGAAGTAACTGTGTGAGTGAACATGAGGGTGAACGAGTGAATGAATGTGAAAGTGAATGAGTGAATGAACGTAAGACTAAACATGAGAGTGAACGAGTGAGTGAACATGAGGGTGAACAAGTGAATGAACATGAGAAGTAAATGTGTGAGTGAAGATGAGAGTGAAGATGAGAGTGAACATGAGGGTGAACGAGTGAATGAACATGAGGGTGAACGAGTGAATGAACGTGAGAGTGAACGAGTGAATGCACATGAGAGTGAAGATGGGAGTGAACGTTTCTGAACATGAGGGTGAACGAGTGAATCAACATGAGAGTAAAGATAAGAGTGAAGATGAGAGTGAACGAGTGAGTGAACATGAGAGTGAACGTGTGAATGAAGGTGAGAGTTGTCTCGTCCTCACTGAACGTCACTCTCCTATCAGGCCTGTTTAAAGTCTGGGTTTTATTAAACTCACCAACTCAATAGCGCCCCCCTCGTGTTGGTCAATGATGTTAGTCTGAAGAAGTTCTCGTACGTCCCTCCTCGGACCCTGACAGGAGGTCCAGAAGTCGGAGTCGTAGTTCTGATTTTAGCTGAAGGGTTAAACGATGTCCGTCAGAAGAAATGATGGTTCACGGAGAGCGCCGTTGGTGTTTTTGTCGTGGTCGTTGTCTCCGGTGTCGTCGTTGTCGTCGTCGTTGTTTATTTCCTTTGTTGTTTTTCTCGTAAACTCGTGTTGGTAAATTTCACAGAAGGAGAATTTTCTCTTTTTTTTGTCCTCCATGGCCACCGTAACGTTACAAATGAGAGGGTGAATAAAGGAGCATTCAGTCCAAAATCTGTTCCTCTCAGACTACATGATCCATTACAGGAGCTGTTCGTCCTCCAGGGGGCGCCATACTGATGGAGGGGTGAGCAGAGGAGCTGAATGAATCTTCTGGTTCCTGAATAAAAACACGACGAGGATCATCGTGGGGATCCGGACTCTCCAGTAAATAATTTCCACAGAACCGGGTCCAACAGGAAATGTCCCCCTCTCTTAAAGTTCCTGGGTCTATGTGAGCTGACCTCTCTATGTGATTTATATCTACGCTAACCACGGCAGGTGGGCTGACAGGTACGAGTGAGCGACGCCGTCAGACCTCAGCGTAAACGTTTGTGGCAAAGGTTTGAGGTTCATGTCAGTATTTGAGCCGACTCTGTGCCGTTTACTCTGACAGGAGTTTATTGTGAACATGTGACAGAAATCTGAAAGCTTCCTCCACCTCTGCGGCGGCCATGTTGGCACCCGGTCAGACCACCACAGGAAACCGCACAGTTAACTAACACAGAGACCCCCATTTATTTTTCCAGTTGTAACCAAAGTGCCGCTCTGCCACATATTTTACAGCTGGAAGTCAGAGTTTCCTGCTTCCTTACATTTCTGGACGGCAGGCGGCTTCACGTGTGGACGGCGAGCGAGAGAGCGAGCGAGAGAGCGAGCGTGTTGGCAGGAGGCGGTAATGGAGGAGTGTTGAGAACAGCCATGGCATGTCCTCGCTCTGCCAGCTCCGTCTCTCTGGATTTCACATTAAGATCGCCCACCGAGAGCCAGAGAGTGAGCGCGCTCAGAACCAGAGACACGCCCCCTCATTCACTGAAACAATCAGGTCGAGGTTATTATCTCATCACTCCAAAACACCAATCATTACCGAGCGAACCGAGGAGGAAATGAGGACTTAGGAGGGAGGAAAGGAGGGAGGAAAGGAAAACATCCAGCAGCAGGTTTAAGTGAGTGTGTGTGTGTGTGTGTGAGAGTGTGTGTGTGTGTGTGTGAGTGTGTGAGTGTGTGTGTGTGTGTGTGTGTGTGTGTGTGTGTGTGAGTGTGTGTGTGTGAGTGTGAGTGTGAGTGTGAGTGTGTGTGTGTGTGTGTGTGTGAGTGTGTGAGAGTGTGTGTGTGTGTGTGTGTGTGAGTGTGAGTGTGAGTGTGAGTGTGTGTGTGTGTGTGTGTGTGTGTGTGTGTGAGTGTGTGAGTGTGAGTGTGAGTGTGTGTGTGTGTGTGTGTGTGTGTGAGTGTGTGAGAGTGTGTGTGTGTGTGTGTGTGTGAGTGTGAGTGTGAGTGTGAGTGTGTGTGCGTGAGTGTGTGTGAGTGTGTGAGTGTGTGTGAGTGAGTGTGCGTGTGTGTGTGTGTGTGTGTGTGTGTGAGTGTGAGTGTGAGTGTGTGTGTGTGTGTGTGTGTGAGTGTGTGAGAGTGTGTGTGAGTGAGTGTGTGTGAGTGTGTGAGTGTGTGTGTGTGTGTGTGCGTGAGTGTGTGTGCGTGAGTGTGTGTGTGCGTGTGTGAGTGAGTGAGTGTGAGTGTGTGTGCGTGAGTGTGAGTGAGTGTGTGTGTGTGTGTGTGTGTGTGTGTGTGTGTGTGTGTGTGTGTGTGTGAGTGTGTGTGTGTGTGTGTGTGTGTGTGTGTGTGTGTGTGTGTGTGTGTGTGTGTGTGTGTGTGTGTGAGTGTGTGTGTGTGGAGGACTACTGCTGCCACTGAGGGACAAAAAGGAGACCATGTTGCAGGAATTGAAGACGTCTGAACGTCATGATTTCCTCGGTTCCGTTTCTTCTGAGCGTCTGAAGACGACCCTCTCCTCACTCTGATTGGAGACGACCCTCTCCTCACTCTGATTGGTTCAGGCGGCTCTGATGTCACGGCTCCATGTTCTGGTTCTGATCGGCTTGTTTTCTGTTTTCATCATTTGTTTTATTGTTGGCATGTCTGGGCTTCCGTACAGATACCTCCACACGTGTCTCTGATATTCTGCTGAAACAACAGGAAGTAGCGAGTCTGTGGGCGGGTGGCGGGATGGCGGGGTGGTCGCTCCCCTCCGTTCTGAGCAGAGTGCAGAAAGCGCTCCACAACTCTCCCATGATTTACCGCCGAGCTGCAGAGTTCACAGTGGATCCACGCCAGCGACGCGCCCCCTTTTAACACCAGCTTTGTATTGTAATGACCCCCTAAACTGCTCACCATCCATTCTCCGTCCATTAGCCGCCGCCGCCGCCGCCGCCGCAGCTCATATTCTTTAATTCACTCCACAAAGGGGGAGATTGTCCGGGGCCGCGCTGCACTTAATGCCTGCAATTACATCAGGTTACACATCCTGAAGTGACCCCCAGGGACCCCAGAGAGAACACCCCCCACCTCCTGCACCACCCTCCTAATCTACTCCACCCCCACCCAAACACCTGACCGCTGCTCCGATGCTCCTCCTGCAGCCACAGCGCCCGGCCCGTTGGCCTCGCCCTCGCTCCTTTTCATTAAGAAATAAAACACGCTGGAACGTGAGCGGCGGAGGCGACGCAGATGGACCAAAATAAACCTGCAGTCAATTAGAGTCAGCACAATAGGCTTTCTGTCCCGAGGAGGCGGAGGAGAAACGGCGAACAGAGTCGTTTTACGGCGGTTATTTACTGCCTTATAACTCCGAAATCAAATTAGTTCATATTGAGGAGGTCGAGCCGCAGTCCGCCATGATTGATTTCCCTTCACGGGGTCGAGCTGATACGAGCGAGCCGGGGCCAAAGAAAGCAAGAGCCGAGCCCAGAGTCCGTCCTGGAAACAGCTCCAGGATCAGGACCGCAGCAGGAGGAGGAGGAGGAGGAGGAGGAGGAGGAGGAGGAGGAAGTTTTCACATCATTTACTATCAAAACCACAGAGTGAAAGTTCTGCGTTAGAACCGGGCCTGCTGCATTCACACTTAGACAAATATATGAACGTGTGAAATACGAGAGAGAGGGTGAGGGTCCGACGGCGTTTAAACGTCCAAAATAATCTGAGGTGATGGAAGCTGTTAGTGTGACAGGAAAACCGGATTATTGGACCCTTTAGAGACAACAGGAGGAGGAGGATCTGAAGGAGGTCCGACAGTCTGAGACCGAACCTGCAGGGGGCGCTGTGGAGATCTGACACACTGTGAACATGGAGGAGAACAAAGAGGAAACCTGAGAGTGACACAGATGAACTCGTCGAATGTCTTTGGATTATATCAGATTATCGAACCGTCCCGACACTCTTCAGTTTACCTAAAATCACGGCGTCCCCGTCCTTCTCTACAGGCCCATCCTAAAACAGATCAAGTGTCCAAACTAGCAGATTAAGGATTAAATCAGATGAACACGTTCAGACTTAATCCCACAGTCCCTTAAAGAAGAGAGCATAATCTGAAAAAACAAACGAAATAATCTGAGTTTTCACTCGGTGGAGATGAAGTCCTTCTCGTTTCTGATCAGAGCTGATTACTGGAGTCAGATTAGAAACATCTCCTGAAATAGTCTGAGTCAATCTCCATCATCCTCCAACACCTCCACCAACATCCTGCCGCCGCCGCCGCCCGCCGCCCGCCCCCCGACAGATGTTAGAGACATTATGAAGCGGGGCCAAGCGTAGAAAAGAGCCGTGTAAGTTTTCCAAGAGAGCAAACAGAAGAATGTTTGAATGGAGCTGCTTTAAGAGGAAAAATGTCCGACTGCTGCAGAAATTCAATTACCGCCTGATTGAGTGTTGACATTTCTGAGGCCGTAAGACAGGAAATTCATTAAACGCAGCGCGGCGGCCTGGGAGGGAAACTCCAGCCGCTGTAAAAGAATCCGCCGGTCCGAGGTGATTATGGAACGGATCGCTGCTCGGGTCAGGACGCCGCTCCCCCGCTCAGCCAATCCTGGATATTTAGAGGCTCCAGAACCACCGCGCGCTCGCTGTATTGATTGAAAATAATCCACCTGGGACTCGGACTCACATCTGTACTGTGGGAGGAGGGGAGGAGGAGGGGAGGAGGGGAGGAGGGGGTGAGGAATAATGTGAGGCATTGATTCTGACACGCATGGTATTGTAATGAGCTAATCTGGGAGAGAAACAGTCGTGAAACGCTGCAGAACAAGACGGCCATTTGTAAGTCATTTATGAGGGCGTCTAATCGTTACGGGAGGTTAGGTCAACATTCACGGACCGGACCGGACCGGACCGGAGCGGGGCGCCCAGACTCAGACCTGGGACTTTCTCTCTGGCTCGGGTTTATCAGCACCTCCTCTGTGAAGACTTCGTACCTCCATCATGTCAGGGTCTGAAGGTCGAGCTGAAGGTCGCTCTCTCTGTGTGAGGTGGAGAGAGGAAACCATCTGAATATCTGCTGCCTGTTCTCACCGCCAACACGCCGAACACGGACCCCGGGCTTCATAAATCCACGTCCACTTAACCCGAGAACACGTCCTGGATAGAGTTACGTTCAGACCCTTTAACCTTCAGTGACAGATCTTTACCTTCTCCAGGTCGGAGGGGCGGTCCTACCTCAGGTGGAGGAGATCAAGTATCTCAGGATCTTGTTCAGGAGTGAGGGTAGGATGGAGCGGGAGATCGACAGGCGGATCAGAGCGGCGTCAGCAGTGATGCGGACGCTGAACCGATCAGTGGTGGTGAAGAAAGAGCTGAGCCGTAAGGAGAGACTCTGGATTTACCGGTCGATCTACGTGCCGATCCTCACCTATGGTCATGAACTTTGGGTAATGAGCGAAAGAACAAGATCGCAGATACAAGCGGCTGAAATGGGTTTCCTCCTCAGGGTGTCCTCCTCAGCCTTAGAGATAGGGGAAGGAGCTCGGACACTCGGGAGGAGCTCAGAGGAGAACCGCTGCTCCTCCAGAGGAGTCAGCTGAGGTGGCGTCTGGTTAGGACGCCTTCTGGACGCCTCCTGTTAGAGGTGTTCCAGACATGTCCCACCGGGAGGAGACCGCGTGGTCAGCCCAGGACCAGGTGGAGGGACTAGATCTCTCTCCTGGTCTGGGAGCGCCTGGGAATCCCCCTGGAGGAGGAGCTGGTGGAGGTGTCCGGGGTGAGGACCGTCTGGGCTCCCCTCCTGAAGCTGCTGACCCGCGACCCGGACCAGGATGAAGCGGAAGAAAACGACGACGACGACCTGGTCATGTGACCGGCTCAGCCCAGTTTAGTCAGGGTAGACCAGGACCCTCCGTGTTCACGGGTAACTGAGATGACGGTCCGAGATCCGCCTCCTCGGGTCTTCGGGGGCCTCTGTGACGTGGTTTTCTGCAGACAGTCGGCTGAGCTCACAGTTTCGGTTCAGATGACTCTGAACCCGTCAGCTGATCCGTTTCCAGCAGGTTCAGGAACATGTGGTGGAAGAACCTGAACCTGAAGCGCGTCAGTCTTCTTGTGTCTGTGCTGACCCAGGATCCTTCTGCGGTCGGACCGTTTGGTTCCGGTCAGCGGTGTCACTGTGAAAAGGTTTCTCAGCCTCACTTCATCGTCATGACGACAGTAAATCAGTTTCATGTTTCCTTCACCGCGCCGGATTATCGACTGAACTAAGAGACTGAAGAGTCCTGATCCCAGAGCAGCCTCCTAAAGTCGGACTTCTTCAGAAACTCTCAGATCATCTCCGACGATCAGACCTTCAGGAGATAAAAACTGATGAGTCTGGATTTTTTAACTCCACTTCCTGTCTGTTTGACCCCTGACCCCGACCTTTTCCTGCCGTTTCCCCGTCTGATCAGATTCTTAAGAAGAGGAGGATCAGCCTCAGGCAGAGAGAGCAGTTTACTCCTGACAGTCTTTGCAGTGTTTGACCTTCCCAGCCACCGTAGATATCGCCGCGCTGGTCTACAGCAGCTTCAGTCTGACCCTCTGCAGGTCCTCATGTCTGAGTGTTCAGAGCTCACCCATCTGTCCATAAAGACTTCACCGTCTCTTTATAACTCCTCCCCCTCGGTTTGCTGAGATGACGGCGCTCTGAGGGCCGCCAGGACGCCACCACGAGCAGAGGAGGTGAAGAAGTTTGGTGGACTTCTAACTCTGAGAATAACCTGCATGTTTCTGAGTTTGGAGTCTGACTGCGGCGCTCAGACCCGGCGC